GTTACATGTATTCCGTTACAACCCAACCCTGCTTCTAGGCTACTGTCCCGCAGCTCCAGCCTCTCTGTTGGACTCTGTCGCAGCGGGGCTACTGCTGTGGTGCGGAGCGCATTAACCAGACTTTTCACAACGAAGGATCACTTCTTCTTCAAGGAAGGGAAGGTTTCGCAGTACGCAGTCTACTGTCCCGCAGCTGCTGCCTCTCTGTTGGACTCCGGTACTGCACCTTACTCACGAGACGTTGTAAAAACTAAATGGGTGGGGGGCGAACGCAGTAACCACTCCGCCAACGCACTGTCACCCCGGTCGAGAATGTCTGGCGGGCCGGATGTGTGATAAATTACTGTTTTACACATTACATTTGAACTTTCAAAATAATTTACAGTTCTGGATAAATGTCAACCTTAAATGGAAAGCAACATCACAGTCCCCTCCTACCTTTTTCTTTTTGTAAGTCGTGAAAATCTTCATCTGTAATGGAATGATACCACATGTCTATACTGCCCAAATGAGATCTATAAATACTAATTGAACAAATGTAGACATTTCTCTATAGATGACCATTTCCACACATTTAAGTTTAACGCCGGTTTCGAGATTTATTGAATTTCAATTTCAATATATGCTAAGTTGATCATTTCTCAGCTTGTTTCCCTCCTTTGTTCCACTTTTTGACCTTCTTGTGGTTCACTTTATTCATGGAGTCATGAAATGTTGCATTGGGGTCAAGGTAGGAGCTATAACTACCCATTGTTCAGACTTGCATAAGGACATACAGGCTTTGCTAGTGATTACAGATTCAAGTGAGCTAACAGATGCATACATAACAACACATTGAAGAAGAGCAATATATATGTATTTTGGCAGACAGAGGTCTCCATGTGAGCATGATGGCCTCCGGTGTTTTACTGAGGTATAACGAGTGATGACCAGCTAGCCTCACTCTACTGGCCCATGATGAAGGCCTCACTAATGCGTTTCTCTGCTGCGGTGCAACAGGAGCTCACGCTCTGCTGTGACTCTTTAAATGTTTCATTCTTTAAGTGGAGTTAATCATAACGGAGCTTTTTACTTTACAGTTTTTAAAGACTTTCTTTATTAGTCCTTCAAAACATGTCATTGAGATTTACAGAAACGATTATGATTAGACTTTAATGTCATTGCCCAGAGTACAAGTACTAAGACAAAAAAAAGAAGTATACTGCATACTATGTTAAACATTGATATATATGTCAATACAAATATAATAAGGTGTCTTTATTTTGATGCCAAAAACCAAACAAAGGCTGAGGTTTTGTTTCAGACGTCTGTGGTGAATCTTTTGTTCTTCAAACATAAAAAGGGTATGGGTTAACATATATTTATTTGAACCTATTCAAGGACAAATTATAGTAAATGCCTAAAACAAGGGATTATAAATGTGGCTTTAATTTTTGTATGCACTAATACTGAACATTTTTAGTGTCCCTAATAACAGAAAAACTGAAAACAACATTTGTGTTGTATTCACAAACTACAATGAAATCAAATGTTGACTTACAGAACTGTAAATGACACCAGCTGGGCTAACCCTCCACAGGCTGAATGTCAGCTGGGTAAATAGTGCTGCATCACTCCAAGCACCCTGATGTGTGGGACATGTGTTTCAGTGTGTGGTTATCCCTAACATGTCTCTCTCTGTGTGTTCTCCAGCTGACATCCTCCTCTTCGCTGTGCCTCCCGTCTACGAGAAGAACAAGGTGAGAGTGCGACCCTCTACCCCCCCGCTCAGTGAGGATGCCAGAGAGAATGAGTTTGGCTGTCAGCCAGCAGTGAGCTCACTGGATGACTGCAGTCTGCATCACACACTGCTCACACACTGTTCAGAGTCCAGCTGCTGACAATATGAAGTCATTCCACTGCTGGCTCAGATAGGGGGGGGGAGGCTGTCAGCATCTTGTCAAAAAACATCATGCCAAATGGGAACTGTTGTTGTTGTTGTTTGCCTCTTTCTGGCAACAATTTCTCGTAGCAGCAGTGAATGTTGGCACTGAGTCCGTGCTGAGACTGATGTACTTATGATTGTTTCTAGCTTAACGTACTCAGTTGTTATCAGTGGTGTAAAGTAACTAAGTACATTTACTCAAGTACTCTACTTAAGTACAATTTTGACTGACTTTTACTCCACTACATTTATTTAATACCTTTAGTTACTTTACAGACCTGGATGAATGATGTGAAATATAATCAATTGTTAAATCAGACTTTAGTTCCACCTGGAGTAAATTCACAAGCTACCCTGCAGTATACAAAGTCATTCAAACTAGCTGCACCTTTACCAGCTTTGAGAAAACATATCATATATATTATTCTGAAATGGACTACTTTTACTGTCGCTACTTTCACTATATTTTTGATGATCGTACTTTTATACTTTTACTTGAGGAACATTTTGAATGCAGTACTTGTAACAGTATTCCTACACTCCGGTACTTTTTACTCAATACAAGATCTGAGTACTTCTCCCACCTCTCAAATTGTTATCCATGCTGAGTTTCAAGTATTAACCTCAAAAGAAGCTAGAGTGCACATTTTTCGATTTCATGTACATTAAAGGGGGCAATGACCCCTGAAATCGGATGATAGCATTAGCTGTGGCTCCTGAACGCACCACCTCACTCAGGCTCAGCTGATTCAGAGCTGGTCAGTAGGTTTCACATTCAGCCACTCTATTGCCTTTGCTTGGGGATCCCAAAGTATTCACAGGACAGATGGATGCAATGAAAATTATGTTTATTTTCCCAGAATGATGCTCACCTTCCCTCTCATGTGTTCTGCCCTCAGACCCAGATTGATCAGTACATCGACCTGGTCCGCACTCAAGTCAACACCACGATGGCCAAGTAAGTGACACTTTAACACTTTAACCTTCCTCCATTGAGTAAACTCCAGACCTCCGACTATTGAATGACACGTGTTGTGGATATTTCAGTGCATAACAACAATTAAAACAAGTGTATAATCAACCCAAATATAGAACACAGTAAGTTCAGGATGTTTAGAGTAGATTTGGAACTGATTTATAGCTTGTGATTATTGAATCAGAGATAGGTGTACCTGTACACTTTTAATACAATTGACTGTCTGTATTGTTTGTTTCTTTGTTTTAAAAGTCATACATACTTAAGATAATTCTTTCTTCTACCTCATAAAATCTAAACAAAAAATGACACTATTGTTTAGTTTTCTGGACAGAAATGAATAAAATCCTGACATATAGGAAAAGTATTTATTTAAATATTTTCCTTTTAAGCAGTCTAACAGACCTTATTATGAAAAATGCCTTGCCATCCTGAGATTGGGAACCACCATTCTAGATAATCGGATTCCTGTTCACACATTTTTGACCCGCTCTTTGTCTTTCCTCCTCAGGTTGCAAGAGAAGCTTCCGGGAGCTGTGAAGCGCAGCAAAACTGAATGATCAACCCACCAATTAGAAACCTCCATGTCACCATCATCCTCATTACCAACATCATCTTAGACCCCCCCTCCCTGTACCTCCCCCCCCAGTCTAACTCCTCCTCCATCAACCATCACCCCCTACTACACTGAACCTTGCTAAGTAGAAAATATCTCTGAGCTACTACTACTGAATACTCTATGCTAAACTACTGCGCAGCTTAATTTGCAAGCATTAAAAAGAACTGTGCCTGTGCAGACAGGAAGCGAGGAAGTGATGTAGCGCCCGGCGGACCCCCCCGTCTGTGGGCAATGCGGGCAGGGTCGAGTGAACTAGACTGAATCTATGACCTGGTTTTGTCGTGCACAGCGAGCAGGGGGAGGATGATGGCTGGACATCACAAAAAAGCAAATGTCTGTACTTTAAACCCCACACATTTCCCTAAAGGTTAATGGATCATTCTAGAAAGAAAAGTTAAGAAAATTAAAAAACATATGAAATAAACCAATATTTTGGGTGTAATTGTGGCTAGTCGTATCCTGCTCTCTTGCTCTACAGATGTTATGTGGATAGATATGAGTTCATTTAGAGGCTGGTAATGGGTTAGCTGGTCGGCCTGTTATAGAGTTATTCACCTTACAGGCTCTTTTGTTTGTACGTTTCTGCAATGCACTGAATTTTTCTTTTTTAACCCATGAGCAGGTTGAAATAAAAGGATTGGAACACTGAGCCAGCTGTGATAATTTGGTCTAGTTCACCCTCTTGATCAGATGCATTTCCTGAACAGTTTTCTGTACATACACCTGAAGACAGGCTCTGCTGTATGGAACATGTTAGCCTCGCTTTTTATATCAAATAAAGTTCCCTCACTTACAGCAGTAACTTCTTTTCTCGCACCGGTTAAAGCCACAGTGTCGAGGCCTCACATTCGCTTCTAAATTTGTATTAATCTTATTACTATTATTAATATTGATTATAGGACGGCTGCTTTTGACTCTCTTGTAGCTTGACAACAGCATTGTAGAGTTATGTTAAGTGTCATTGAGCTTCATAATTTTTAACTGGAGGTTTTTGTGAGGCCCCCAGAGAAATTATTCATGATTTTTGGATAAGTTAAGAGACACCTCCGATTTGTTGGCACACCCTTACATCTCAAAAAAGCTTCTCAGATAGCTGTTGGGGTTTTAAATCTATGGAGTACAAATTGTGCCATCAAAATATATATGAACTTTTACAGTGTTTCATCAAAAGATCCAATATATATCACTTCCTCCTGAGGTTTAATGACTGGGAGATAAGTTTAAAACATGTTTTGGTGAAGAATAATAACTTTCACGCCTAATTAGATTTAAAATAAATTGAGCAAATTGATACCTTTTTTCAAGTATGAAATTTAAATTTAAAACTGGATTTGTAAAAGCTTTTGAAAATGTGTCAATTCATTAATGTTTTATAATTGAACTACTGCGATTTTATTTTGGCACAATTTACCCTCCGTACAAATCTTAGCAGTGACCTGAGCGGACACTGAGAGCAGGGGTTTGTGAAACTAAATGATGGGGTGCAGTGTTGAAATAAGAGTGTAGCTGGGATTTAAGGATGCGGTTTGGGTTTGGCGTGATTATTATAGAGCTGTTTGTCACTGTTTTTGTTTCTTTTGACTGCCATGAAGCGCATGTCGTAGTGTAAGCTGGAAACAGATTCTCACCCTTATATAGGCTGTATCATATTCTTGACCCTGACTTTTGTTTAATATGATTATTACTTGTGACTGTTTAAATGGTGTTTTGGAACTCAGTAAAAACCATAGTCATGTTAGCACTACTGCTCTTCATATTGTTTTAAGGGATGAATATATAGAAGGAAAGGACCAGTATGTTCGTGTTGCTGTCCTTTTCATTACTCCCTAAAATAGGTTTGCACGGAGTAAATGTCCCCTGAATACTGAATAGCCAACAGCCTCTCAATGCAGTAACACCTACTGTGTCTGCCTGTGTACTGAATGTTTTCTCTGGAACATTCCCCCCCCCAGCATGCCCTCCACTGTGCGTCGTCTCACTGTGATCGCCTCACAGATGTCTCCGTTGACCTCTTGTGCATGCCGTCTCATTTAGACTATGGGCGTTGGAGCCAAAATATGCAACGTTTCTGTTGGAGATGCTAGCTGTTAGCCCCCTCTTGGGCTTGGGCAGGTTACGGCCCTGGTGCTGTAAACTTGTCCTAAGCTAAGTAAGCAGCATCTGTAAAGGTGCTGAAGAAGCAGACAGAAAGAGATCAGGCCTGAGGACTGACACTAATGATGTTAATATGCATCCTGTTAATTTATTTGACCGTGTAGAAGTTGCATATTGTAGCTTTAAGTTGTTATTTTCAGCCAAGAGCTAAAAGCTGCTGAATTTGTATTGGATTGACTTTGATTCAGTTTATTTAAAGGAGCAGTATAACCAAATTACGAAAGAATAAATCACTGCAGGTCACCAAGAATTCAGAGAACCAAGGTTACTCTTGTATTCGCTAGTTTTTGTATATCTGACCCCCATCTCAATACCATGAAAATGGAGATGTCCTTTGGGGACTATTTCTTCTGAAAGTTCCAAGAAAACTTCAGTGAGCAGCAAATTCTATTAACGTACTGTGGTGGCAAAAATCTCAAGGATACTGAATAAATCTGAACTATTTTGGTTAGGCTGTTCCTTTAAATGTAGAAGCAGCTTCCTGTCAGTGTGACCCCAGAAGTGCGGCGCTATGAGAGGTCAAGCTTTCCGTATGCACCTTTAACTGTAGAGCAGGAGACGCCATGCTCCCTGTGTTAGCGCGCTACCAAGGCTAACAGATCACTTCTTTAAGACACATAGTTGGCTTATTTCTTTAGAGTGTAATATATAACATGAATACAAGTTGTTCCCTAACAGCATGTTGCTTTTCTCCTCTTCCTGTTTGTCCCCGTGTTTTCATCAGGTATGGGCGTGTGTGGCAGGAGTGTGTTTGACTTTTTTTGTCTCTGGAGAGTCTTGTTTTGCTTCTGACTCTATACTGGTTTCTAGACGTTGTTCACTAACATCAGCTTTGTTTTGTATTAGCTATGACTTTGGTTCCGATTTTTTGAAGCTTTGGGAAAGATGTTGCCGGAATAAAAAGAAGAAAACTGTTTAAAAAAAAGTTTGTGGTCTCTGTACTGATGTCAAAGTGAAATGAATAAAAACACGTCAAAGGACTGAGGCTCGGTGGATCTGTTCCCTGTGTGAATGGAACTCGTGGGCCTTGACATACAGGAAATGTTTTCCAATGCATGCTCATTTAAGGGCCTAGTAGGCAAGGGCCCAGGGGCCTCAAGGGTCAGCCCCCCCACCCCATGGCCTTTACCTACAAATGTCACTCAAATGGATGACCACACAAATTTACAAGAGGAAAAACCACTTCAAAGAGACTCAACGACCATTCAAGGGTCACAAAATGACTACAAAGAGGCAAAAAGCACATACAAAGACACACAAAAACTACAAAGATACTAACAAAGAGACACAAAACAACATCAAAAAGACAAAGCAATTCCAAAAATAAATACAATTGAAAAATACTCAAAATGACTACAAAGAGACTCAAAATGAATACAAAGAGGCACAAAATGACTACATATAATTACTAAGGGACTTAAAATGGAAGCATTTGACACAAATAGATGCAAAACAACATGCAAAAGAAAATAAGAAGATTTGACTTCAGGCTGATGACTGTAATGGTGTTTGAGTGGAAAGAAGGATTATTGTTTCTAATTTTAGACGGGGCCGCGCACTGAAAGAATTAATGCTAACAGTCTGACATTTAAAGCCTTACGCAACATTATCAAATGTTAAACAAGGAATGTGTTTAAAGTTTTACAATTTTAGCGTGTCATGTTGAAGATGAACAGCACACTCAGGATGGGGGAGGGGGGGGTATTTCTTAACAGTATATTGTGACAGTAGTTTTTATATGTCAGTGTTTATCTGCTGATTTCAGTGATGATAGCAGTATTTGAAAATGTCTTCATTTCCTGTTCCAGTAACCTCTGACAGGAAGTGAATGGACCCAAGCTCTAGCAGAGGAATGCCATTCCCTCTGATACGATGTAAGAAGCCAGAAACAGAATGAAAAGAGAAACGAGGTCACAGCAGCGTCGTGGTGTTGAGTATTTATTCAAAGATCACGGAAGAGAGAATGCTTTCTCACACGTTGGCCATGTACAAATGAAAGGTGGGTGGACGAGTAAAGAAAAGTGAGGAGCCAAAGAGGATCTCTCTCAATCCATCTCTCTCTCACACACACACACACACACACACACACACACACACACACGTGAGACTGCCG